CCTATTCCAAATACTGGGAAATGTTCTACAGGGCAATGAAAGTTACTTTTGTGGTTCCTTTTTAAACTTTATACTGAAAATACAAATAAATAAAATCTAGCAAGTGCTTGATGATTCCTCTGGTGACAAAGCTAGCTATAGTGCTCTTCTAATGTCCAAATCTCTGTCTGTCTTCCAGCAGGAATACTGATAACCTGCAGTTACTATATGTCTAGATTCAGGCAGGAGTTCCTGTTGCTCCCAAGTACAAATTCAGGCTACAGACTTTCCCTGTGAATCCCAGTTAATTATTTTGAAAATGAAATCTGAGGGAGTTCAACTGGAAAAAGGGCTGCTGAACAACTACAACGAGGAGTTGTTTTCCTAGGAGTCAGTGAAATACTTGTTGCTGTCAGCTAAAGAACTTTGAAGACCTGCACTATGGACAAGGATGACAGCAACTGCAGGGCAAGGGATTCTTTAGAAAACTCTGACATTTGGCATTATCTTAATAATCAGTGCAGCTCAGTTTCTTGGCTGTCATTGCTAATACTGACCCAAGCTGGAGCTGAGTGCTACTGAGACTCTGCAACTTGAAAACGCCAGCGAGTTCTTTCTTAGGACCTCACCAATGTTACCATTGCTCTTTGCTTCAGTGCCTTCAGCAAATGCAGCAGTCATTTCTTGTTTCTGACACTCACTGCAGTGACTGATTAGTAGCTTGTAAGGAATTAAATTTTAGTTGTCTGTAAGAGGCTGCTTTTCTTTAACTGATCTGGCAGACCAGGAATAGTTCTGTGCACTCTAATACAAACAGTATTGTAAATATAGTCAGATAATACTATCAAGGTATTTTCCAAGAATATAGGGATTAACTCATCTCATTAAAATGTACACATTCTGCATAACACAATGCAGTACTACTTCGAGACAACTGTTCAAGCCAGCCAAAAGATACTATGTTCTAGGATGATCCCTGGCTGTCCTCTTGTCTCCCCTGATTTGTATAATCTGTGTAGATTAGTGCACAGATATCATAGCACTGAGCACTTCCAAAAACCTAAAATAGACTGCATTAGCTTAAATTTCTAGGTAGTAAAGAAACTTGAGAGGAGAGAAACATAATTAACCTGGAGCGTGGAAGGATTCCCTAGTGAGAAAAACAACCCAAACTAAAAATGGCAGTTTGGAAAAGGCACCTGCTTCTGAACACAAAAGAAACTGGCAGGTCACAGATCCAAAGAGTGGTGTCTGAGATTCAAGGTGAAAAGATTTTTGGTTTTCCTTGAATATTTGTTCTTAGCCATTTAAAATATATTACATGACTTTTTTTTACTTTCTTTCTTTTTTTAATATGAAATGTTATCATCGTTGCTTTCAGTGCTTTCTCTTTTTCTCTCCAGAAAATGAAAATAAAATCTATGTTGCTGGAATTGCCTAAGGATCTTTCTCTACATTCAAAGAATGTTTCTGAAAGCTATGCTAGTACATAAAGCCCAGTTCTGTACACATTAAAATAAAAGGTGAAAATATCCACTGCATCAGGTGACAGAGAAAGTAGAGATGGAGAGAGTAGAAGTCTGTGCAAGGACATCAGGCCCTCCAAAAATCAAATCACTTCTCCCAACTGATTCATGTTTTTCCTCGTTCTTAATTTTACTTCCCAACTCACTGAAGTAATTCTTGGTAGTCTCTGCGGTGCTTAACTTTTTCCTGTTTGCTGTTGCAATGGCCTCTGTGACAAGTGCTTGATGCCAACTATATTTATTTGAGCTTCAGAATTGAGCTCTTAGTCGGGTATTTATCAGCTGCAAATGCCTGTTCATGCAGATATGCAGTTGCCTACAGAAAGGTAAGTTTTACAGAAAAAAGTATTGATCTGCTACAGCTGTTGGAAAGTCCAGACTCCCATACTAGTTATTTCTGCCTTACCATGATTCAATTTTTAGCAGCCGTATCTAAGTTAATTACTCCGGCATAACATGCCAGTCAGTTGCCCATCCCTCTACTCTCCCCATTTTTGATTTTTTTTTTTTTTTTTAATTAAGGTTACATTGCCAAATTAGTACCAAAAATAGGTGTTTCTTTTATCTGTGCTGCATACCACTAGCCTGACAAATTCTAAGTCTTGTTTGTTCCTGAAAATGTAGAATTTCAAAAGATAACTACAGATTAGATGTTAGATACAGCTCACATAACTCTTCTGCTGTATCGGTACACCAGAAAGCTTAGGAGAGACTTTGTGCTGTCTTACGCTGTACAAGGACAGAAATATTCTAATTTAGTGTATCCTTCACTGAGCCTGCTTAATAATGAAAAGGCTGCCATATAAGATAAAGAAGTGAATACAGATAACACAATGAAGGCTGAAAACGGGGACAGAAAACTCTCCAGGCCAAATGGAAATCTACTGGGCTTCTGTAAATGAATCAAAGAGATGTTCATTCCCATTTTTTAAGATTTAGTAAATCAGACTCAATTAGAAATTCTTCCCAATCCCAGATAAGGATTATCAATTTCTTATCATACATTACAATAGTAAAAAATGGAATCTCACAATTTTTGTAACTAGTCTCACACTTTGTTCCCAATTCAACTTGCATGTCATTACTGGATGAGCCAAGGTGAGCACTTATGTAAAATAAAGGGCAAAGACTATGGAAATAATTATTTGTCACCTCCTGAGACCACTATGCTCCATGTTCCTTCAATCATGCAAAATAAAGCATGCTACTACCTAACTGGAACCTTACTGTAGAGCAGCTCTACCTGAAGCCAAAATAAGTTTTCCCTGCATGAAATATATCAGTGCTAAATGCTACTTTTTTGTCGTTGGTAAAATTCTACCTCCTTTTTTCAAAGACAGCTCTGAAAACAATCAGACTCAGTCCTCATACATTTTTAGGTAACATACATTAATTTAACAAAATTTGCTTAATTTCCTATTCAGAATGGATGCAGAAAATACAGCAGAGAGATGCAGAAAATGCTCACTTTCCAAAACATTTTTTTTCCCTAATCTGGCCAAGAAATGCCACAAGCTGAAATCTACCTTTTTCTAGTGATATATATGAACACAATACAGTTTCTGAGGGCACTAAATTCTCTGAACAAACAACAGGACTAAAACCAAGGTCTGAGAAAGCACTTGAGCCAGTAGAGTATGAGTGAACATTAACTTCATAAAAATTACAGACCAATTAGATTATTCTGTCACAGTCACCTAGAACTTCACTACTGATTTTCTAATTTTTCCAGTATTTGTTATTATTTTTGTTGTGACATCTACTAAAGAATAAATATAAACAAACTTCAAAAATGGGAGTTAATAATGCAGCTGCTGTAAATGTTTGAAAAAATTTCCAGAAGAGGGTAAATGGTTTGCCCATAAGAAGATGCATTACTGACAGAACACAGCATAGGACACATCACTGCAGCTCAGTGTTAACCATTTGTGACTTTTCCAAAAATGAATAGACGTTCTCTCTTTCTGCTATTTTCTTCACTGTTGATAATTACCGGTCTGACTAGAAAAGATTAACTAAAGAATTTCAGAATGAAATACTACAGAATGAAATGTTTTACCGCCTCTGTCATTTGGAGATTTCAGTGTTGAATGTCCACATGGGCACAGTATGTGTTGTTTTACACTCCATGTAATTATCTCTAAATAGTCTAGTAAAATTATGTTAACTATAAAAATGCAGTCATGCACTGAGGGAATAAACCTCACTTTCTTCACAGTGCTATCAAATTACGGTCCCATTTTCAATAACATTTCAGACAATTTACACTATTAGAAAAATGTTTCTCCTTTATCTAGATTTTCAAATTCACATGAATGCAATCACAAAACCTTTTTTGTTGTTCTTCTACCCTAGTTTGTTCTTTGAGAAGAATGCTGGGAAATATTTCTGGAAGACAATGGAATTACAGTAAACATAAGCTAAGAATTTCCCCTCTCCAATACGCTGAAGTATTGTTCTATCTTTATCCCACCTTCTCCCAGGCAGCCAACTTTATTTGCCTCTGCAGCCCTTTATTTTTTTGCTAATCATCCTCTTTCTCATCTAAGTAGTGTAGCATCCCAGCACTAACAGCATCCCACCACACTGTCTTCTCTCTCTCTGTTTGCTCTTCACTGAAATTTATTTTTTTTCCTTTCCACTTATAATTTTCAGTGCATTTACTGGAAAATACTTACTATGATAGGCAATGTCTCTAACTGGTCTTTCTTTACCATCCCTTCTATGTAACATTGTATTAATTATGGCTGATTTTTTCCAGAGGAAAAAAGGTGGTAAAAAGGCAAGCTAAGGTCACTGTTTCCTCATGAGATAAGCTATGAAGAATAGTCAAATTCCACTGAAGCATTTCATTACTAAGTAGCATAAAACTGAATCACAGCACAACTAATAAGTATAATTGTATTCAGAAAGTTTCATTTTAAGAATACGTCAAACATATAATTTCATTAGGGTGTGTGAGTATCTGTGCATGGATTGATTATGGCACATTCTTTTGCACGTGAGTCATAAGGCATTATGAATGACCTACCTCCTGCCCATTGGGAAGCTTCCATATTCCTTCCTATGAGAAAGAAAAATTGTCCATCTGGACCACTTTCTGATAAGCTGCCAGCAATCCCAGCGCACATCCATTTTAATTCCTAAGCCCTCTAGTTAGACCAGTAACATTAATGATGTTACTGAAGAATAATAGTTAAAACTTTCCTAATCTAAAATAGAATTGGAATTTTCCAGTAATAATAAATATTCTAAACTTAAAAAAATATGGCATCTCTGTGGCATTTACAATTATGTTTTGCCAAAGCAATAGCTGATTTTAATAGGGTAATAGATGGTCAGTTTATTAAAGACTGGAGCAGATCTGTTAGTTAAATAGACAGTCAGGACAGGGGCATTCATTTTCTTGTTAAGAGATAAATATTTGTTTGGGAAGATATTTTTGCTTAGAAAACACTAAAAATCGTCTTTCACGTAGCCAGGATTCTCACATACCTTAGCATATGCATTACAAATCCCCATCAGCTTCCCAGTAATTTCAGTTGTAAAGTTTACGATCGTTCTGGAGAAGAAGCAAGGCAGTCTTTGACAGCTTACTGCTGCACCTGTCGGGAACAAAAACATGTTATATCAACAGTATATGCAATGATTACAGAATCAGTAACTGCTGATAAGTTTTCCTTGTTAGAGCCACAAGCCATACTTTGTACATGATTTTCTTTTCCTTTATCTCTAATGAAAACTATGCAGGGACTTGAATTTTCATGGAACCATGAAAACGGAACATGAAGGTACTCGTATCTTATTTAACATTCAAGCTGTTTAGAATGCTGCAGCATAGACAGGACAGAGGGAATATTTCCCTAGTGTTTTACATATCTTGAGCAACAGATTTCTGCTGTAAACACTGAACTTTAAAGAACTTTTGGTGATTCTACAATAGACAACAAATACGTATGGAAGAAGGTGATTTAGAGGAAAGAAACTCTTAACTTAGAAGCAAATGCTAGGTTTCTGTGGGCTATATATTAACACTAAAATTACAAAAGCATGAGAAATAACAAGGACATCCGTTAATATTAGGCTGAATGCAGTGAAACCAGCCTTCACTGGATATGATCACAAAAAATGCAAGCAATGTCACACAGTGTTGTTAGCAGTTCTTTATTATTTTAAGTGAAAAGAAACAAAGTGAAGAGAACTTAGAAGGGGTATTGGATAGTGTCAGCAGTAATAGCATGCATGTTTACACATTACTATAATTAGCAAAGGAATTTAAAGAATTATAAAACCAACAATTTGCTTTGCTTTAACTGTGTTTTTGACTCAGCAGCAGTTCCACTGATATCCTCACCAGAAAGGTTGTCTTGGTCTCTTTTCAAATATGAACTCATTAAAAGTAGAATCACCGTGACCAAAGGTAAATTCTCAAATATAAAAAGGGCCTTAAAAACCTCCAGAAGGCAGTTTAATCCAAATCTTGGATAACTATGGATTAAGAATACATCAATGTTAGTTTGTGCTCCCCTCCTTTAATACTGCTACCTCACACTAATAAGCCTGGGACTGTTTTTCTCAACTTTCTTTCTTTCATTTTATTTTAAAGTGTAATTTGTGAAGGCTGTAGGTATGAATAAAAAAGGGATGCTGGAGTACAACAAAGGCTTGCAAAGAGAATGTCAAATTTAGCTTACTTCCATCTGCAATTTGCTTAGAAACATATCTGTAAGATTAACAAATGATTTATCTGATTTAAAATATCTTTGTGTGCTTTTGCAGCAGTTTCCTATGCAAATCAGGTACTTATGCACCCAAATTATTCTAGTTAGCTACAGGAACCTACGATGGCCTGATCTACACATTCAGCTGCAGTGCACCTCTGCATCTGCATGGTAACTGTGCACATCTTTTGCATAAAAAGTGCACACCCAACTAGACTGAGAAGCAGATCTGTTATTATCCTGCATTGCTTTACAATACTTTTAATTGGAATTTACATGTTATTGATAAAGCCTTCACTTTAATTCAGAAAATATTTTGAAGAGATAAGGAATCATTTGCTAAAAAGTATTAAATAAAAGTATAAAAATTAAGTATATTTATCCTTTGAATAAGTGTAATTTCTATATATTTATTTAAAAAATTGGAAACAGAAAACATCTCTATGTATGACAAGAAATACATTCAATTATTGCTATAATGATAAAAACTTTGTCAGGGTTATTCTATACAGTACTTGTTCTCACAAAATGATACCACGCTGTGTCGCAGTGGATGTGGTTGAAATGTTGGGCACAGCAGAAATGGATCACACAGTCATTAAAACCAAAGAGCCACAAATAAATTGTGACTTAACAAATGAGCCAGGCTTACATGTTAGATAAAGCCACACTTCAAAGGTAAACAATAAAGTTTATGCAAGGTCCTCTGCTGTGGCACAGCAGGGAAAATAAAACCGATATGCTGATGACGTCCTGCTTGTGCTTGGACCTTCACCCCTAGGCTCTAGGCAAAGGAGATGGTGAACTAACGTGTGAGTATACAAAAAGTAAGCATGAAAATAATATCCACAGAAATAGAGATTCATGAATCGAAGTGCAGAAAGATAACACTGTCATGGATAGTAGCATGAATGCTGTATAACCTGTGTGTGATGACCAGTTAATAAGCAAAACAGAATAAATACAGACATGTAAACATCTAGCCGAAGAAACAGAAAATTCATCACTTTACACTCTTTGGAATAAATGTGAAAAGAGGCTCAGCTTCAGCAAAAAAAATCTGCTATGATGGGTGCAGACTTTGCAACAGACCAAGGTTCTCAGTACTGAAACACGTTAGAGCCTGGATTTGCTTATCTTGTTTTTAATGCTATCATAAGGTCAGGTAGAGAGGAACGCCATTATAGACTGCCCTCTTCTTTATGTTAATAATATATAGATAAGGTAACAGGAGTGCTGGAAAAATGTTTCCTAAAATCTGGATATACATTAGAAATGAATCTGAATGCTTCTATACGATGCTTTACATTGGGAACATAAACACTTTCCCATACGTAGGTATTTTCTCTCTATTTGCAAAATAAAATTAAAAAATAGTTGCAAAAATAACAATTTTTCTCAGTATCTTCTCTTGTTTCCCAAGAAGTGTTATATTTAAATAATACAATGCCTCGAACTTCTGCACATTGTTCTACCTATAGAAATAAGAAAGTGGAAAAATTTGAGCCACAAAAAAGTCACTGTTTACTAATGAACAAAAAGATGAAAAAATACTCACTTCTTGTATGGGGTTAACTACACGGGTAGACATGCCTGCTGAATCATTAAGTGGAATGGCAAGACATAACTCAAAGTTAATTTTCCTTTGGTGTATGCTTACACACACAGTCACGACCAGATTCGTGTCACCAGATTTTGTTCCCAACCTAAAACTGAGACCAACTTTCTGTTCAAATCTGTGCAGACATTTTGGCCAACTTTTTTCCAAAGCTCTGTAGCTGTAACAGATCACATCTTTTGTAGGTCAGGCACAGAGAAGAACTTGCAACGTGTAAATTAGTTCATTACAGCAATATAATCACTACAGATGTTTTGCTACACGAGTACCTACCCAGGTGGAATGTTAATCACAGCTTTCACTCATAGACAACGTGGATTATCAATGAATGATTCTGTGGTTAGTAAAATAATGCCTCTCTGAGGTTTGATGTACCTTTTTGAAATATGTAATCACCACAGTCCTCACAGCAAAACATCTACTGCAGAAAGCAGGCTTGCTCCAAAGTGTCTCTGCACAAGATTTATTTTAGGAACATCGTGCAGGAAAATTTGAAGCAGGCATCAGAATGAGCTACACAATTCAGATCTACACATCCCTGATGAGGGATCTGGGAGTGCATTCTTTCCATCACCAAGACACTCAAGGAAATCAAGGAAATTGTCAAGAACATTTCTGCTCTGAGACTGTATATTTTAGCTGTCTTGAGAGCTGGGATTTTTTTTCATCCCAGTATCAAGTGATGGTAGTACAAGGAAGGGCAGCTGTAGAAGGAGAATAAAATATCTATTTCATAAAAGCACTGGGAAAATTCAGTCTCTGTAAAATTAATTGAATTTCATGAGTAAATACTAATTATCACTTAGAATATGCATCCCAAAATACTTGATACGTTATAATTTTGAGAAATTTCAAGGCAGTTTAGCCTGCTTTGCAAACAGACTGAAATAATGAAAATATAATTTTGGCATACTATTTCAAAGTCTTATCCTAAATGTCAGGCTGTTTTTGCAGATATCCTGCTCACTGGCTGCAGTTGATGGCTGCTTCTAGAGAGCTACAAACTGGCTGGGCTGATCTCAGTTCCTGGAAGGCTGTGGAACAAAGACTCCTGGAGGCCACACTCAGGCACACAGAACAAGGAGATGGCTGGGAGCAGCCAGCATGCTTTACCTCGGGCACAGTGTGCTTAACGCACAGCCCAGTGCTTTGCAGCAGGACAACCAGCTCTATGGACATGGCAAGAGCCCTGCATGATGCTTCCTTTGACTGCAGCAAGGCTTCTGCGTGGCCTCCCAGCATGTTATGATAGCCAAACTGCTGGCAGACTGGAGGGGAAAAATGGCTGAACCATGTTAGAGGTGACTTTGGTCACTGACCTGTGATAGTGACACACGTGTAACTGTTTCCTGCAACAGCAGAGCTCTTTTTGTTTTGCACCTGGATTTACTGCGATTAAGCAGTTATACTGGTTGGGTCTATTGCCAGCTCATCTCTCATTTGCCAAACACAGAACATTTTGCAAAGCACCTGGTGAAGGACAGTTCTCACTGTCACAAAGACAAATCACTGAAGACCATAAGGACCACATAATCAGAAACTGGGGGTAGAATTTGGCTTCTGATACACACAGCTGCTTAACTGCGTACTGTTAAGTGGCAATTGAGGGAGGCGGCAGGCAATTCCTCTGGGGTTCTGCACCCTCTTCTGTTGGTCATTTCTTGGGAGCACACGGGTTAAATCATCCGTGGTCTGGGCCTCAGTTTACTGTTGTGAACACTGACAAATTTAACCAAGGATATTTTGAGATTACAAACCCCTATTTTTGTAGAAGATTATAAAAACCTCCTGTTCCAAGCACAAAGCACTTTTTTGAACCAATTGTTTGAATGTACAGCAGCCAGCTGCACGGCACGCAGCTAGATCTGCGCTCACAGTGCGGTGAAGGCCACCAACAACACGCTTCCTTCCAGCATGGAACTCCAGGCCTGCAGGGCAGGGTTACTCACTGAAAATATCGCTGTCTCAGGAGCAGATTCCACACAGGCCAGGACACGCCATGGCCGTGCTCCTGCCAGCGCGGTAACACAGCCCACAGAAAGCAGCGGCGGGCTCAGCGCAGGCCTCTCCTCAGCAGCCTCACAGGGAGGTCAGCACGGCCCTGCTGTGCCATCGCACGACAGCCGACGTGCAATCTTCTCCACGAGGCCCTTCCCCTCCTGGCCCTGCCAGCACCTCACTCTCTTCACTGACATCTGTGGCGCTGCTTTGAACGTTAACATGTTTTCACCCTTCGTTCAGATACAGACGAAGATCTGCGGTATCAGTGGCGAGAGGTGTGAGGGGACGGCGGGCTGACGGGCAGCCAGAGCGCGGGAGGCGCGACAGCGAGCGCTCAGAGGAACCGCAGCGCCTGCGGGGACCGGGACGGGATGAGGCCGGGATAGGATGGGGCCGGGCCGGCGCTACCGGAGGCCATTCCGGGCGCGGGGCACGCCGGGAGCCGGTACGCGCGGGGCACGCCGGGAATCGCGCCCCGCACCTCAGCTTTCCAAGATGGCGGCGGGCGGCTGTCCCCGCCCCCGCCCCGCACATGCGCAGTGGTCCGGCGGGCCGCGCCGCTCCCTCCCTCCCTCCTGGCGGCCGGGGCGCCGCTGACAGAGCGCGGAGCGGAGCAGCGCCCAGCGCCTCCGGGACCCCCCGCACCCCGCCGCGCCCGTGGACGGGAGAGGCGGGCGGCGCCGGCCTCGCAGTGCGCAGCGAAGCGGCGGCGGCTCGGGTAAGGCCGGGGCCGCGGCTCTTCTCCCTTCTCCCCCTCCCAACCCCCGCCCGCCCGTCGCTGCCGCCCCGCGGAGGCCGTCCCTAGCGGTGCAGGCCCGGCGGCCGCTCCCCTCCTCCCCGCCCTCCGCTCCCTCGCCGCCCCCTCCCTCCTTCTCTCCAGCTCGCTCTCAAAATGGCGGCCGCGCCCGTTGGTGAGGAGGGACCGGGGGAGGCGGCGGGCCGGGGGGCGGCGGGCGGCGGCCGCTCCCCGCGTTGGGTGCCGGGGCCGGGCGCGGCTCGTCCGCTTGTTCGCCGCCTCCCGCCCCGCCGCCCTCCGCCGCCCGGCCCGGCGCTCCCCTCCGCCGGTGACTTAGCAGGAACGCGGGGAGGGGCGGGAGGGCCGCACCGCGGCGCGGGTGGGGCGGGGGAGCGGAGCGGAGCGGGGCGGCGGGCCCGGCGCTGTGTCCGCCTGCAGGCCGCTCCGCTGCGCCCGGTGACTTGGCAGGATCCGCGGGCGGCGGGATTGCGGGTGGCCGCTGCGGGGCGAGGAGCCCGGTGCGTGTGCGCGTCTGTGTGCGTGTGTCCGTGTGCCCGGCGTGTCCGCGCCTGCCGGGGGGATGCGGAGCGCTCTCTCCGCCGCTCCCGGCGGCTTTCGTCCCGTTCTGGCCGCCGGCCCTGCGGAGGGCGAAGCGGGCGCTGCCCGGGAGGCGGCCGGGGCCCGCTGCGGCACGGGGACAAAACAGGGCCGGAGCGCTGCCGTAGGATCCTTCGCTCGCACCGTTTCCCTGCGGCGGCGGAGCGCGGAGCGGGCGGGAGGAGGCGCGGCCCTTCGGTGGCAGCCGCAGCGGCGGGGGGCAGGGAGGGCCGGTCGCTCCTTCCTGGGGTCGCTCCGCTGCCCGCAGGCGCGCGGTTCCTCCGAAGCCTTTTGCTGGCGGTCGGCTCTGCTCCGTCGCTCCGTTTATCGCTGCTTTCCAGTTTTTGTTGGGCAGGAGGTTACGCGGCAGGCTGCTGCTGGCTCTGGGTGGGAGTGGTGCCTCCCTTACGAAGTTCGGGGTTACTCCGTTCTGGGGTGGAGGGGTGAGATTTTTAATTCTGACGGTTTTTTTTTTTTTTAAGGTGGGTGCATTTTGGCTTGACCTTTAATAGCGGTAGCGGTGCCTTGCCTCCCCTTTCTTTGCCATAGTCTCGCCGGTAACGTTTCCCTGCCGGTAGTGCTGCAGCAGAGGGCTTGGTCCTTGCAGGTCAATTCACAATGAATCCCCAAGCAGGGATGGGGGAAGGTTACTGAAGCTATATAAAAAATCTTGAATAAGCACTGTTTTATTCTGAGTAAATGTTTGTGTGTGTGGACCTGGCTGAATTCTGTTTTTATGTGGAGACCTCTTTACGGATGTATTTGCGTGACAATATTGTTTATACGGTATTAGGAGGTGGGGGGCTAAAGAGCCTATGTTCAGTGATAATCGTTTCATAAATGACTGTGCAGCATTCAGCTGGTTTTTGGAAGAGGGAGGGTCTGCTATCACAACGCTGTCTGTCCTTCGAGTCGTTTTATTAAAGAGAGAAATCATGTTAGGGAACTAAACAAAGAAAATATTTCTAATAGATGTATTGCAAATCTTTCTTGTTCTCAGGGTTCTCGTTTTTGTGTGTTTCTTTTGATTTGAGTGTGTTTATGGATGCTGTGTGCAGCCATTGAGCAGAGGAGAGACTGGGTGGAGTAAGGAGGCAGAGCTGCGAAATGGCTAGATTACCCTTTCATGGCTTTTTTTTTTCCCCCCTTTTCTTGCGTTTTGCTGGGGTGGAGGAATACTAATTGATGTAACAATGAGGTCTCTTCTTTAGGGAAGAAGCTAAGGATGCAGCAACACAAACCTCACTGTTTTGAGGCTGATTTTTCTGCAGGGTGGATCTTGATGTACGTGGTAGTGAGAAGTGACCAGTCACCGTTGCAAAGCCAGTTGTTTTGTCTGTTACCCATTTCAATATATCAATTTAGATATTCACTTGTTGAATTTATTTCATTTCACTTTAAATAAGAGTTATATGTTTGGTATGGGTGTTTTACACACAAGATTCCAGGAGTTATGGAGAACCCCTGTATTGTTGCTTAGCGTTATTATTTGTTCATATAACTTCTTGGTTGGGTTGGGTTTTGGGTGGATGCAGAGATGAAGCATCCCTGCTTGCTTTGGTGCCCGTAGTAGGGCAGGCAACTCCCATTAGCATGCAGATTTAATTATGCTGCCCTCCCCTTTGTCATGTTCCAAGTTCATACAAAATAACGTCTCAAGATTTTGGAAGCCCTTTTCAGTGGGATGGCTCTATAAGAGCCTTAGTGTGTGCATACTTCTGCATCATGAGGGCAGAGCTAATGCTGAGACTTAAAGTTGTGTAGGAAAGGCATTAGAACAAAGGATTTGGGGAATACAAAAGGGATCAGATGAAGCACCTAGAAAGGCCTGCTTTCTGAGTGCCCTGCTATTCGAGATGTAGCTAATGGTGTTTGCTCCTGAATTCAGTGCTGTTTGGAGCAAGTACAGCACTGAAAACAAACAATTATGAAGCAAGTTGACGGTTTGTTTTTCTTGGGTCTCTCAGTTCTGGAGTCCAGTTCTTGATGGTAGGTGGCTACAGATGAGACTGCTCCTTGGCGTTAATTTGCCCGAAATTAAATTAAAGGATAGTGGCTTTTTAAAGTTCATTTACTTAGAGGAGTAGATGTTACAGGAGTTAATGGCTGTATTCATTAAATGCCTGTGCCTACGAATGAAGCCAAGGTAAGAATAATAAAGAATCCAATAGAACTCTTACCTTCTTATAACTTTGGCTGATTTTTGTCCTTGAAATGATTGAAGCTACTTTCTTGTATGGCAGTAACGTGTTAATTTCTCTTCTACAAAAGAAAAAGACATTAATGCATACCAAGGTCTGTCTTGGATGCCTGAGTCTATTCCCCGTGCTGCTTCCTATGCTCCACCCAACCTTGTGTGCTTGGGTTGTGTTCTTTACCTATCCACCTTGCCAGCAGTGGGGCTACTATTGGGTTATTCTGCTGACTGTCTTTACCCAAACTGTCTTTGTTCAAGACCTCTGTAGCCAGCTCCCACTGCGGTTAATTGTAATGGGTATCCTCTTGTAAAGTATTATGGGAAAACAGCTGGAGAACCCCTGCTTCACTGTAGCTCTGAGCAATGCTGTATGTATATATTACAAAGTTTGTACACAGCCCTCTGAGGCTCATTCCGGTGGTCATGACCAAGGAAGGTTGGAACTTCCTTGGTAGCACAAATAGAGAGCCCCTCTCAAACAGTTCTGCTTCATTCAGGTTCCCCTGCTCTTGTGGCCCCCTGGGCAGCCTCCCAAATGGATGGCAGAGGCTGTGGGAGGGCTGTTAGAATTTCTTCTAAGTGAACACTGGAGTGGTTGTTAGCCTGCAAATAAAAGCTGCTTATGCCTAAATACGTGAAACCAAGAGACAATAACAGCCAGTTGTTATTAGTAACAAATAATAATTTTGGATTTCACATAAAGTGGTTTGGTGTTTTTTTTTGCTTCTCAGCCTAGTACGTAACTTGTGATGGCAACTGAAGGTCTTTCCATGTGTCAGAGCCATGTGTATTAGTCAAAATGCTCCTGGATTTCTTCTCTCGTGTTTATTATAGAGACATGGTGAGTTCTGTCCTATCTAAAAAGGCAGATTTATTCTCTTAATTCTCCTGTTTCTCATTTAAAAAAAAAAAAATTGTAACTCACAGAAGAACTTACCTAGTGGCTTCTGGGTGTTACGAGCAGAGACATTTATTAAGGACTGATGTTACTTTTGAGCTGTGCTTGACAGAGTAGGTTATGCCTCAGTTCATGCTTCTAAAAACGGGCATTTACACTAACAGGTAGTCTTGACTAGTTGGCTAGTAGGAACTTGACTAGATTCAAGTGCATCAAGTTATTTCTTTGAAATTCTTACAGTAGTTGCTGTGTGAACCAGCAGGTGTCCCTGGAAGGTTTGTGCCGTTACTGAAAATGCAGTGGCCCAACTGGAACTGTAGCTGTGTTGTGTCAGCTTTACTGTGGTGCCCATAGCTTAAGTTATGTGTCTGTTTTACAAGTGTTATAACTATCTTAGAACCCTGTTCTCCTTCGTTCCTGCAATGTGGAGTGACCCATTGATGAGTATCATGCACCAGAAGCATTTGAAAGACGTGGAATTTCTTGGCCTTCTGCTATAGGCAGATTGTGTTATTTCATCTGTTTATCTGAACAAGGCTAAAAAGCCTGCAAAAACAAACAAACAAAACCACTTGCTTTCAGTGTGAAAGGAATAACTTAGATCTAGTTTTATTCTGGTACTTGCTAAATACTGCAAGCTTACCTCCTGCAGGTGTGTACATCTAGTTTAGCTGTTCAAAAAAGGGCTTTCTCTTAATGCTCATTGAGGCAGGCTCTGAGCCTGTACAGCTTCACCTCATGTACTCTCTTTGGGGAATTAAATAGATGTGACTTAGTCTTGCTTCCAGCTGTTTTCCCTGAGGGTGGACTGTGGTATCACGTAGTGCTGCCATGGACTGTGTCAGAAATTTCAAGGAAACATTTCTCTACAAAGTGTGTTGGTATGGAGCTCTTGTCCTTTTCATCAGGGCTGTGAGGGTACAGCCCTCTTCAAAGCGAAGCATATGCTCAGCATGGTCATGCTAAGCAGTAGTGAGTGCACTTATGATGCACAGTTAGATATATATATGTGTATATATAGGCATATATATATATATAAATAATGTTATGATTTCAAGATACTTGTGAATAGATTGAGAAGTATTTTAGCCACTTCTTATTAGTAGTGCTTCTTAGAAAGCTCAGTAGTTCAATTTGACTGCTTATGGACCTCTGGGTTAGAACTGTGTTAAAATAGGCATGATAAATACCTCTTTGGGGTTGTGATTCCAATGGTTTTGGAAGAGCCACCTGGTATTTGTTACCAGTAACTAGCTGCTGCAGTGTTGAGAAGATATTTTCAGTTACAGGACAGCCCATTGTGCTTGTGGTTTGTAGGTGGTGCTGCAGCAAAGTCTGTCCTGTAATTTTCTCAGATCTGTTGTTAAGTAGGTCCCTGTTCAGTGAGTTTGTAGGTAGGCTTTTCCGAAGCACCTCTTCTCCATTGCTTGGTGAGTCAGCTGGCATGCCTGCTTCGAGGCAGGGCTAAAGGTAACAGGTTTTA